TAGTCAGATAGGGATACTATGGCTTCCAGGGCAGACTGAAATTTCCGTTAGCATCGTTGCTTGTAAGCCCGAAACCATTCTCTGGATTGGAAAGAAGTGATTTCGTTTCTCCTACTTCGGAAGAGAAGCAGCGTCTTTGCTTTTAGGCCCGCAATCATTCGTTGGCTTGTGTGAACCTTATTTTTTTTATTCATTCCAAACAAGAGGAGAAGCAAAGAAATCTATACTGAGATAATTTATTAGTGTCATCGAAATTAAAATGGGTTATAGAGCGTTTCGACCCAAAATTTAGAACTATGTGCAACTAAATAAAACTAATTTAAAAGTCTTTACCATAATTCTGACAGCGCACTGTCAGAAAACAAACTTGCAGGTTTTGTAGAGAAGAGAATGAAATCTTAAAACACGTGCATGGACTTTGCCCGATACTGATGTATGAATCAAATTAAAATTTTAAAACGGCTGAAGATTAAAAACTCTGTAATTTGTATTATGAACTCCACCAATATAATACTAGTAATATTAATAATACACTCTAAGAACTTATGGCCGTATCATAATTTTTACAAAATATTCCTTTGTTTCCAAATTGAATATTCTGCACTAAATCAAGTTCAAATTTTTGAACTGGTAATGGAGATGTCCTAACTCAATCACATAAATGTGAACATTAGACTTGTCCGACTGATAGAAAGTATTAGCTTAAAATTATATAGTAGCTGTTGATGTATCTTCTCATAGTCAATATCAAATGATCGATGCATTTACCACATATTTGATATTTCTTAATCCTTTCAGATCCCCTTCAATATTTGTAGCTCGGATATATCAAGGAGCTATGAATATTTGGTTCATTGTCATATTATAAAAAAATTAATTTCTTTTGTTAAAATTTTCAATATAAAAGTTACTTTATCTTAATTGCTCTACTTGACTTGGTATTTAGAATATTGCATATACCACTTACAACCGATTTTTCGTAACCCTAATATGCTTTTATTTAAAAAAAAAGGTTATACGTAATAATGAATTTTTGAGAACGTTTTTTTTCTTTCTAATTTTGGTTTTAAATAAATTATTTAGTGTTTTAATTTCACCGCATTTAAGATATTAATTTACAGTTTATGCAATTTCTATTAGAAAAAAGATGAATGTTAAAACAAAAGACTACAGAATTATTGTGATTTAATAACAATGTCTGTCCGTTTGTTATTTGAAGTGTGTTGCCAATACCGGCGTTTTTGCGCAAGCACGTAGTATGTGCTTATGGAGCTATAAAAATATAAATAAGATCTAAATATATAAAAGTATGAAGTCGAGAAAAAAATTGCAAAAATATCTTCAATAAAAATGAGTAAAAAAAAGTAAAAAATATAACAAAACATAAATAAGAATCATGAAGTGTAATAACCGCAAGAATTTGCACGGCACATGATCTGCAGAAAATAATATTAAATTATTCCTCGCCCATAACTGTCTGAGCCCGCTCTAAACTCATTCTTCAGTCATTCCGAAGCTCAAAGATTAAATTTAATTCTTCTTCATCATCTTTATTTATCTGCTTTTGTTTTTTGTGAGTATATGAATCTTCATAAAATGCTTAATGCTGGTTTTAATGAACTTTTGAACTAGTTTCACATTCTGCCATCGTGATACGTACGTAGATTTCAGATATGATGTGGCAACCGAAAGAGTTCTTAGTAGTTTTGCTTCAAAGTGAACTCGAAATAAGCAAAGCATGAATTTCACTTTTGTATCTTTATGTATTTCAGTATTCAGTATTTTCATTACATTATAATATTTGAATAGTTTATAGCAATAATGCCAAATAGTTTGATGTATCAGTTATATTTTCCAAAAAGAAAATTTCTAATAAATTGTTTAAAATTTCTTTTTTACCACAGATTTGAAAATATTTAAACTAAAAGCTTATACAATATTTGAACAAATTCATCATTTAATAAATGAAAAATACATTTTTCGACTTATATTAATAAAAGCTGAAATATTTTTCATATGAATATTTCCTTAATTTAGGTCACATCCATTCATTGATTACATGGAAAATATTTTTCAGTTGTTCAAAAATGAATAGTCAAAAAGCTAAAGCTGATATTATGAATCATAGTAGTGAAGAATTGCTATCCCTGAACAAAATTTCCAAACGAAAGATAGCTCAATGCTGAAAGTAACCCTTTTACTTTAAAAGTAAAATTGGTTATGTGAAAAATCGTACAAATTGAAAGCTTACATACGTAATAACATTGGCGTAATATGCCAACATGCTGGAGCATGATGGATTTATGTTTAACTTGCGTGCAAGAAAGTTAATGGATTTTGTAATTTGCAAACATTTTATATTGCAACAAGGACCTTCCATGAAAGCGACCAGTTTTTCATCTACTTTACTCCCTACTTGCTACCTCAACTCCCACCAGTACATGGTTCAGCTAATACTATCAAATGGCACAGCACATCAAAGTATAGTAGTTTCGTTATCGTTAGGAACAACGCCTTTCCCGTGTGCAATTTTAATAGTGTAATGGGTTTGCTTTATTGCCACACTTTTTGTCTTAAAATTTCCGTAAAAGGTTAAGAAACATTTTTTGGGTTAAAATCTTACAGTTTAAGTAGAACAAAGAATATTGGAACAGGATTAGTTATGTAAGGGCAGTCAAATAGGTTTGATCTGTTTAATTGTAAAAGGGAAGAGTTAAACTCAAATAAAGGTATAATGACAATTAATTGATACTATTGTCTTATGATCGTAGCATTTTATTTATTTATTGCTATTAGTAAATAAACTATGCTAAGCACAGGCAGTAATATTTCATTTAATTAACACTAAGAGAATGCGAAACTAAAAATCAAAATCCTAGCAATAATTTAAAATTTAATTTGTTTTAATTTAATTTAATTTAATTTAATTTAATTTAATTTAATTTAATTTAATTTAATTTAATTTAATTTAATGCAATGCAATTAATTTTATTAATATAATTGATTAAATTATTTTATTGATATAATTAATTAAATTATTTTATATAATATAATTAATTAAATTATTTTATTAATATTATTAATTAAATTAATTAATTAAATTTACTTAATTTAATTATGTAACTTAATTTCAATAATTAATATTTTAGTTAAATGAAATTAATAATTTTATTTTTGAAACGGGCTAATTGGTCAATTAAATAAATAAAATAATTAAATAATACAAAAAAAGGTTTTTAAAAAAAATTTAATTTATATCAATAGTGCGACTATATTCAAGAGTCATACTTAAGGTATTAATAGTACACTTAAAAAACTGTATTATCTAACAATTGACCAATTAAGTCGCATCAACAACAAAATTATTAATAAAAATTTTACTAGGTGAAACAATAAACTTTATTTAATTAATTTAATTTGTTTTGTTTTATTATTTTAATTATTTTAATATTTAATTAATTAATTTTATTTGTTTTAATTTGGTTTGTTTAAATTTAATTTATTTTAATTAATTTTTTTCAATTAAATTAAATTTAGTTTATTTTAATTCTATTTATTTTAATAATTCTTTTTTAATTTAATTTGATTTAATTTAATTTGGTTTAATTTTATTTATTTTAATTTTTTTAATTTAATTTAATATCATCTCTTTTACGAAATGAAGTAATTTAAGAAACTATTAATTCGATAGCTGATCAAGTACCTATATTAGTTATTATTATTGTGTTGAAGACAGTTACATTGCAACCTAGAGATCTGTTGTGTTACCTTTTTAGACAAAATATTGTTTAAGTATATACGTTTACGTTTAATAAATCAAATTTTTTCTTTTAGAAGAAATAATCTATCTATTTTTTGCTTTTCAAGAAGTCATATTCTTTTTTAAAATGATAAAAATATGATTTTAAAAATATATGTCTTTTAAAAATTGTTATATGTATTTATTTAAAATTCCTAACTTAACCAAATATTTTGTTGTAATTTATTTATAATATATATCATTTTATTACATGAAAAATAATTCTATTACTTAATATAATAATGTCTTGTATTAAATAACGTAAAAGAAAATATGTTTATAATTTTTTTTCCTCATTCTTATGCCTGTTTAATTTCTAATTTAAAGCAATTATGTTTTATGTAGAGATCCAAATAATTTTTTATCCCCTTGAATCTCTTTATTACTACTGAACGATGCTTCATCCTGCTCCACTTGCTTATTTGGTTGTTATTCATGCGATATCTTTAATTTGTTTGCCACTTCAAGAGTACTTACGATGGAATTTACGTTGCTGTGATGTCGATTGAGTTGCTGGCTTCTGTCGTCATATTTTACTGGCTGCCTGCCTGCTCGACGTTCAGTTGAAGTAGTTTCACTTAAATTGGCAAATATCTTGCGTATGCCGTGGGTGGTTACCATTTAAAGTTTTATTTTAGTTTTATATTATTTTAAATACACTCAATTTATTGCTAAGTTCTTGCTGTTGGGTTCGCTGTTGTTTTGTATTTCACTTTATTATTTTTACTGCTGACAGCAACTAAATTAATTTCTCTGGAAAAAAATGAAAATTAAAAAATACTACATATATAATGTACAATACATACTTAAAACTTTATTATTTGAAACTGATATCTAACTATAATGAACCAAAAAATAATTATAAGTTAAATAAATTTATACTAAACATACTTGACATATATATATGTATATATAGTATCTGAAGTTCCCAACTACAAAGTTCTTAAAATTTATGCGAAATTAATATTTTGCTCATTAAAAATATTGCTCAACTAAAAACTTCGAAACTTTTCAAAATTGCTTCACTCACAAAACTGACAGGAAATTAACACAAAGTATCTTTGGCAAGTTCAGATGCAAAATCGATAACCTAGCAGTTTATGAAAGGAATAAATGTTTAACAAATCTTTAACAATGTATGACGAAATTAGAAAGTTGGAATGACTTTGAACTTAACTGAAACAAAGGTTTGCGATGAAGAATGGTCTATGAGACAACAGCTGTGACCTTAGTGAATTCAAATTTGAAAGAGAATTTCAGATTTAGAAAGGAAACATTAATTGTCGGTTGTTATAGTCAAATTTTTACAAAAAAACTAGAAACAAAAATTAAAGAAGGTGATAGAGGTTTAGAAAGTCTTGAAATAAAATTTGAGGTAAGACTAAAAAAAAAATTATTACTCTAAAACGTATGAAAAATGCAGCGAGTATTTAAAACATAACTTAATATGTATCTCATATTTTTTTTAAATAAATTGTATATATATTAAATATATATATAAATATTAATATAAATTTTATAATTTGGTGTAATAAACATGAAAATCGCTGGTTGTAGTTTTGTTAAGAGATTTATTTTTTATTTTAGTTAATATTATATTAAAAATTGAATTAATCAAGTTTATTACCTTAACTATAAAAACATTGAATATTATTTCTTTTTTCAATACTTCCGTAAATAAATGATGAAGTATTTTTTTTTATTAGAACGCACTACATACATTTGTAAATCAATAAGGTCTCATAATTTGATATATACTTCAAAGACATTAGCTATGATTATAGTATAATATTCTATTCACGTTTCTGTAAATCAAATCACCTTTAAAAATACCGAAATGGGCTTTTGTTACGCTTTCAAGTGACAAAAATGTACGTGCTCTGTATATAAATAATATGAAATCAAATATGACTGCAATAAAAAGTAATTATGAGTAATAAAATGTTATATAAAGAGGTTTAAGTATTAAGTGATAAGTAGTCAAAAACAATAATACATGTAAATAAATTAAATTTAAATAGTTTATAAATTTTTTCAGTATTAATTTTTATCATTTAATGCTTCTTACAGAACATATCTTTTTTAATACAAAAAACATGGGCTTTCGTTTTGATTACGACAAGCTTATATTAATGGAATCTTCCTTGTTAAAAAACTCTATGCAATATCTAAAGGGTAGTATAAAAAAATGCTTGAAGTTGTTTCATTTTTAATTCTAATGCCTTATTAAACGTAATTTAACTGCAAAATAGATTTGCAATTAAAATCTGTTCCTAGATTTAAAATCTGTTTTTTTCATAAAGTTATAATTAAACTTATACAAATATATGAAATAATTCAATTTATTTCAACGATAAGAATTTCTTTAAAGAACTGCTACCTGGTGATGTAAATTTTGTCCACTTTTCCAATCAAATGAGGTAACATCTCCCGATTAGCGTGCTCAGAATTAGATTTTAAGGATGAAGTCGATGCAAGGCGAATCTAAGTTAAAGATAGCTAATACTCTCACACAAACCAGTGTACCCGTGTTAAATCTTTATTGGTGACTTGAAGCCTATTTTTAAACATTAGCCTAAAAAGGGACTCTTCTTCTTCAATTAACTAATTTTATTCGTCCAATTATGGCATCATCCTTCAAGTTCGCGCGATTAAGTGTAATGTGAAAAATGTTTTTTATCAGGTAATGTTTTCTATTGCACCTTATATTTTGCTTGATATTAAAAATGGTCCTCTCTATGATATCATTCGGTTGTTGAACCAAAAATGATCTGTCACATTTAGCCCTATATAACCGTTCTCATAGCCATGTAATTTTCCGGTCTATTTTACAATATACATACTGAATCCGGTTAATTTTTTTCATATGAACTTGCAATTCGTTTTCATTGCACTGAAATGAGTCTCGTTCTACACCACCGGATATTAGATACTATATATCTAGTAAACACAGTGTATTGTTTGTAAATTTCATATCTCCCACATATTATCTGAACTTGAATCGTAACATCTAAATACAAACCAATGCTGTTCTGCTCTCACAAAGCCATGAAATATTAAGCAAAAATTATTAGAAATTGTGAAATTATTAAAATAATAAAAAATTATATTTGAATACAAATTGTATCTCGCAACAAAAAATATGTTTGTGAAATTTGAAATTTCAATTTAAATTATTATTGATGTAATTTGCATATGTTTTTAACTCCGGCTTGCTACTGTGCACTGCCGCTTCCCGCCACTTTAATGCGATGGCATTAATTAATTCATTACAATTGCGTGGACTGACGACGGCAACGTTTAGAGCGTTCGCTTGCTCCATAATGTCATTAGTTTACGCGCATATGATGATCACAACGTTGTTGTTTATTATTAAGATAATAAAGTCTAAGAGAAGAAGAAGAAGAATTGAAAAAACAAGAATCGTAATAATAATTATAATAAATGAAGCATCATTGCCATCAGTCATCATCAAGGCACTTGGCTTCTGCTATTCTCTGTTGCTGTTTAATGAACTCATAAAGTCGGCATATTAATTAAAATAGCTGAAACTGCGCAAAGAGAATGTATATAGTTTGTTTATATACTTAAATGTATATATACACAATAATTATTTATAAACAAAAGCCCAAACATAATACTAACAAAAGCATAGATATTTATTTTTCTTATTTACTTTTGTACAATATTATTGCTGACCTAGACTTTTCTAGTACTTTGATATTCTGCACTTTTTAATTTTAATTAGAGAAACTGCTGATACTTTTATTCCCAAAAATGATTGCAGAATAAAAGTAAATACAGAAGATATAAAATTACAAAATTACTAATAATATAATAAACATTTTTAAGCTCAACTGGCAAATTCAGTACTTCTTTTGTTTATAAATCACAAATACTTTACACAAATATTGCTGAGAAAGTTCATCAAAAGTTCACATGTACGAAATAAATTATATTAAGCAGGATTAATTAGAATTAAAAACGACGAGGTTGAAAAATCACTTTTAATTAACATTAAAAAAATATATGAAAATCATTTTTTAATTAAAATAATTTATTTAAAAAATTTTTTTTTAAATTTTTTCTAAAGATTTTTTTGTATGTTGATCCTTTTTTCGAGTCAGCGCAACTAGACACTTTTACTCTTTGATAGCTGGGGGTACTACAAGGTCCTACCCATCTCATTGACTAATTTATGTATTGCCAATAAGCTTCATGATTATTCAGTGATTGATCTAAGATCTGCAGAGAGTGATTACTCTAAGATTAGATAATGGTAAGTAGGATAGCCTGTCAATTTTCGCATATAACTTCAGGGCTCTGTCCCTTATGTATTTTTTGATCGGGTCTATTCTAAGGTCTCTTAGCAATGTTCATTTTACTGTTCATGAAAGTGTGACATCATTTAGGTCTCAGTTTTTTGATCGGGTCTATTCTAAGGTCTCTTAGCAATGTTCATTTTACTGTTCATGAAAGTGTGACATCATTTTGAAAGATATCAGTTTTTTGAAAGATATTTTCATCATTATAGAATCAAAAGGAATAATGTAATACCTCAATAATGTATAATAAAATAATAGCTTTTTGACAGGATGTGATTTTTGTTAGATCTCTTGCTCAACTCATTGTAATAAGTCTTTCGTGTTTCAAACCATAGCAAATCTAGTAGTGTTGCAAAACACATTCTGCTTTTATTGCAGAAGTCATTTGTTAAGATTATACTCGAATGGAACGAAAACGGCACCAGAGCAAGACCAGAGCTGATCATTTGCCGCCGAATACTAAAAAACGAGCTTAAAACAAAGTCATTTTAATTCTAAAAACAATAAGAATTCACTAAGACCAGGTTTTAAGGGTGCGTATTGTTTAACACGTACGCTCAGAAACAACTACCGACCACTGAAAGGCTTTGAAGTTGCCAGAAGAAGAAAATTTAGACTAATAATTCTCTTCAGTGTGAAACCTTTCGTTAACCTTGTTATATCATTTGGTTTTCTATTCTTTATTGTGATTGCCTTAAAAATACGATATTATTTTTAGTTTTAATGTTATTGCAACTGTTTATGGTGCTAAATTAAATCGAAGATGAAGTCGTAAGTAATTAAGTAATTTCAGTTAAAGAGAACATTTTTTACTTAATTACGAAGTATAGATAGTAATCATCAGTTGTAGATTTGTCCGGTTTTGTCAAAATTTTTACCAAAAAATACTGATGTATTGATGTGATCAGGAAAGGCCAGTAGTTTCACATTCGTATAGTATACGATTCGTTTGTCGGACTACTTTGAAGATGGTTTGTATAATAAAAATTTATTTGTCATTTGACTTCATAAAGAATTCATGTGGAGAAGAATACTTCGTTCTGAGAAACTGTTGTGTATTGAGTTCACGAAAATTTCGAAATAGTTTTGTCGTACAACTATGAACATTAAACCCTATTCATGGAATACTGTCCCTAGCCATTCTCATGCTGTTATGGTTTTTACTCAAAAATTCAGATAATTTTACAAAATATTGTGTACATGTTCTAACGTAAGGCACATATTTGCAAAACACAGCTATTATTTACATGTGTAGTATTCAATACCAACATTTTTTATTCATAGAGGTACTGCCGTCATATGTATTCAATTGTAGCATAAATTTTGTGAAATTAATCGTTTAGTCCAAAGTTCATAACTCCCCTTGTTACAATAAAGACATCGCAGCGAAGCTCCTAAAATTTTAGTGCTGTAAAAAATGTTAAAAGATGAACCTATAAATGTACAAAATGTCTTACTTAAAATTCTATTTCATCTGTAACATATACAGACACTCCCTCAAACATTTCCAAAACAAAAAAAAAAATGAATATAAAATTTGTTTCAAAGTTTTTAAAATTGTATTTAATTTAGGAGACTTTTTCAGTTTCCATATGAAATTCTTTAACAAAATTACATACATACTTGCACGGATTGTAACGTGTTTCGCACTTATTCTCTGTACTTATTCATTTTTGCTGATACTTCGTTTTGATGTTCGTACGTCGATCAGATGCAGAGCAATATGCAAAATTATAAATCCAATAACATGCACAGACTCCCCTGAGAAATATATGCAATCAATAGATATGCGCATATATTTATTGTATTTTATAATGAAATTCGATTCGATTTTGCCTTGTTTCGCATTGTTTTGTTTGCTAAGTACGAAGTACGAGTTCGACACTTGAAGCTGTTTTGATTGTTATATATCCACACCGCACAGCTTCACTGTGATTTCTTTGCGGAAAGTATCTTCTCTCTCGTTGCTCTACAATAATGCATCATGCACGAAGTACATATTTATGTGCCGATTTATGCAGTGTTTGTGAATAATTTGTTTTATTCCAAGCAGGGTTTTACAATTCGAAAATATGTTAATGCTTCAATAAGATACATCAAATATTTATGCAACTCTTTTGTATATTATTTGCGATATTTTATATTTTACTGTAATGTATATATTAATTTAAGTATTCGGTTTTTATTTATGTAATTTATTTTAGACTATTTATATGTTTTTTGAAAAAAACCTTTCAAAAACTAAAAAACTCTGAAGAAAAAAAACAATAGTTTCAAAAGAAAAAATAAATTTCATAAACTTTGAAAGCAGCCTTACTACAGTTAATACTAGACTGTATGTCCATCCATATTTCATTTAATGTCACACCATTACTTATAATATTCATTTTAATATGCATCTGACTTATATATCTAACTATTAAATAACAAATGTAATTAATTTCTAAGGGACCTTCAAACAAACTTGCTTTGAAGCTGTTAATTCATTATTAAAATGCCTACTAAAATATCGCAAATTGCTATTTAATTCATTCACAAGCTCTGTTAACTGTAAGAAACTTACCGGAACTAAAAGAGATTATGTTAAATTGATGAGATGATGAAAATGAAAATCCCAGCATAAGTTATGTATAATGAATTAGTGGATTTAGTGCTTTAGTGCTTTTACGAAAAGGATTAATCAAAAGAAAATCAAGGAAAAGACATACATTTTCATTTATAACTGACATTTTCGCTTTATGGTAACTTATCGTATTATGGACATACTTGACTTATAAAATGAATTGTTTAATTAAATATTAAGTAAATATTAAATAACAAATAATGACTCAAAGATATGTTATGCGAATACAATTAAGTGATAATTATAGTTGAAGTTTTTACAGCTAAATATAGCTGTAATATAAATATAGTAACTTTTAAGAGTATTTTAAGTGGCAATAAGAATGGAAAAACAAAATGACGCTATTTGAACACAGATTACATATAAACGATATGACAAATACTTCCTTAGCATAGCACCTAAGATCATCGAAACGTTTATTGAATAAACGTTATTCATTATAAAGTTATTAAATTGACGTTACTTAGTTTTTTTATATAACCCATGTGATATCTTATAAAAAAAGTTCTTCAGATTAGGATTAGGCTAAGTTAAAAGAGCGTGTGTTGATGCGAACATAAGCACTTAGAGTTGGAAACAGCTATTGCCTATAGTAGCTGCCCATTGTGATGCTATTAAAGTAGCCAGTACGAGCTGCGCTATAACAATCAACATATATAACTATTACTTTTAGCAAAAATTCTTTATTATTTTAATAAATTCTTATTCTTCATTCTTATACTTATTCATAACATTATTCTTCATATAATAAACGTGGTGTCTTTAAAGTAATCTATAGATATATCCTGATATAGGATATGGATAATATAGGATAATTTGACTATGTGATAATTAATTTCCTTTTTTGATTTTTCAATGGTGTAAGATTAATTTACACCTAGTGAGCTCAACCTGTCTTTTTTCCAAAATATCTGAGTCACTGATGATAATAGATTAAGCTTTGCAAATAATGTTTTTTTTAAACTAATAGCACGAATTCGCCCAACAGCCGTTACTGTGGCTAAAAGAGTCCTAATGTACCAAATTCACTTTTAACTATACAAACCCCTTAAACCTCCTTTTGTAAACAAAGTCTGGAATTATATCTGGACAAGAGCTCTTACTCTTCTGTGTGTTTTTAAAGCTGGACAGCTACCAATAATGTGCATAGTTGTGTTCGTTTCTTAATTTGCATTTCGAATTAGCAGATAAATGGTGCTTATATAGGACACATTTCAGGCCGTAATGTATTACAATACTCGTTACCAATCTTAAAAAAATTTAAGAATGTTTTGGTAGGAGTATGATTTGATGAGAGCTTTGCTTTGTCTGAGTACAGTGAAATCTTCTCAGTACTCCAGACGCAAACCAATTTCCTCCTTCTTGATTATTTATTTCATATTAGCCCAATTGAACCCACAAAACAAGACCTGTAAAAGCGGTTTTTAATGCAGTTCTGACTAATTTATAGCTAGCAAAAAAAATTAGGTTTTAAATGGTTAATAAAAAATTTAATTTTAAGAGACACGAATTTCGTGTTTCCAGTAACTAAATTTTTTGAAAGTTGAAACTGAAAAATATTTAAGGCATAGACACCCCTTCCTTAATTTTTCTCCTTTCTTGTTAAAATGAAAGATTTCTTGAAACGACTTATTTTTACAGGTGTGAAACGACACAACAATTTATATATAATTTATATTTAATAATTAATAATTGTTTTTAATATATTTTAGATTTATATATGTTTTTATTATAAATAATTAAAATTTCTTACTATAATCGAACTTTTTCATTATATAATGAAATCGTTATATAAATTATAGAACTTAAATAACATATATTTATTTATAATTTATTTGGTACAGAGAATTTGAAAATTTTTTTAATTAAATTTAATTTATTTCCTCTCTTTTTCAGATAAACCAAATATAATAAATGATTTACCAAAAAATAAAAACACAAATACCACAACAAAAATATTAAGCGTTCATTTAAACGCTAAAACATCATTGGACGTTTATTGAAATTTATAAAATAGCATATTAACGGCGACAAAATCACTCCCCCCCAGACAAACGTGTTCGAAAAAACCATCACCATTTCGTCGATTGCGATTAAACGCAGGCCAACGCTGCCGCAAACGCCAGCGAGTGGTGCCCCACAGGTGTTGTCACCCAAACGACAGTGCGCTGCTGCTGTCTCTGTAATTCCCGCCACCGCTCAATTAACACCACAAGTACAATACGCCACATCACCCGCCGCAGCTGCTGCCGCCGCTGCTGTTGCACTTAAAGCCGGTCATCAATTAACTTTTAATCCAGCTGCAGCTGCTGCACAATTAGCTGCCACCGCTGCAGTAACTGCACATACACATCATCCATCACAGATTGCTGCAGCAGCAGCTGCTGCTGCTGCCGCCGCACAGCATCATCGTATTGCCGCTGTAGCTGCTCAACATTTTAATCCCGCCGCTGCAGCATTATTAAATCAGCACTTACATAACGCCACAACACATTCACATCAACAAGCCGCTGCTGTTGCAGCTGCTGCTGTACATCAGCAACAAATCGTATTACAACAACAACATCAACAGCATCAATTGAATCAACAACACGTAGCTGCAGCTGCAGTTGCTGCACACAACTATCAACAACAGCAACAACAGTTGCGACAACAACTACAACAACAACAACACCAACAACAACAACAACAGCAGCATATAATAGTTGCTAACGCCACTTCGGTGGCAACAACAATAACAAATAATCAGAACCAAAACAACAATAATATCAGTACCAATTCAACACCTGCAACAGCTGCAAATACTGCAACAATTGCTGCAGCAGCAAGAGCAGCAGCAAGCGCAAAAATTATTATATCAACTACTGCGTCATCAAGTTCTTCAAACGATTCTCATTCAAATTCGTCATCAACTTCAACAACACCAACACCAGCAACTGTTGTACCAAATACAAACGACACAAGCTTAGTTAGCAACAACATAAACGGAACTATTACAAGCAACAGCGGCAACAACAACAACAACAACAGTGTGAACTCACCAACTGCAAATACGACAATGGAAAATCAAATGGCATTAGCACCTTTAGGATTGTCCCAGAGCATGGATTCCGTAAATACAGCGAGCAATGAAGAAGAGGTAAGTTGATACTTTTTTCCACTTTGTGGATTTGTATTTTATTTTTATTCAAATTGTATTATTCAATTGCAAGAATTGTGAACTTATTCAAAGAGGAATGGTATAAAATCTAGATGTAAGAGATATAAATAAGTGTGATCAAAACGTTGATGGTAAAATCCATGCTTTAGATAAAAAAAAATTCAATTTCAAAATGATTTTTTAAAAGTAATTGTTAACAGGTAAACGAATTCCAAGTAAAGTATATATTTAATTTATTTAAAATTAAACATGAGCGAAATATTTTAAATTGGAAATGGATATTAGGTAATGGATTATAGGAAAAATTTTATTTTTTTATTAATTCAACATTTTAGTTATCCATTCATCTGTTTCGGGTATTACTAAATACTTACCCACAGTGGTTTTTGAAAATACTATTTGGACTAAATTGACAGTATGTAGTTTTTGGACTGCATGTATCACGAGATCCTTCCAAATTCGAAACAGAGACTAGCGTTTCAGACACCTAACCCAAGACCGTGCTTGAGTTATATTATTGAAAGTGGAAGTAATTCGCTGTTTTATATTATAAGACATAAATATAAATATCAATGTTATTAACTTTTATTAGCAACAACTATAATACACTTCAGTGGTATAAGCTCATTTTTTGGGATCGTATTATAGAATGAAGAGCTAAAGTCTTATTCTGCAGTCGCTTCAACTGAAATATTGATCACATTAAATTGAATTTAAAGTATATATTATTTATAACGTTGCCATTATACAACTCTTTCGTTATTAGGATTTTGATTAAGAGTTCTTGGAATTATGATGATTGTTATAAATAGTATATCCCTTGAAATGATTATATTTTAGGTTAGCTTAAGAAGAAGTGCTTGTTAAGTTCCCAACAGTAAACAGTAAAAATGAAGAAGAAAATATATTTTTATTGAAAATATGATAAAACAAAATGTCTATACTAATCACTTCTCAGAAATTTATCTATACGTACAAAAAAAAATACTTTTATTCCTATATACATACATTAGTTTAACGAAACCAACCAATTAAATTTACTTAACATTGTGCGTCAGACTTTCATTCTTATTCGCACTTGCAGATACTTGAAGACATTATTCATGAGAGATGAGTACGTCTACTTACATTCGAATTGAATTCAACTTTATTTACTTGTACGTATACGACGAGTACATTTAAATAAACTGAAAGCTTGAAATAAACCTAAACCTGAACTTAACCAACAAGTCATGCATGTAAAAACATTTGCAATTTTTTTTGTGTTTCTGCAAATCACGCCTTTTTAGATAAAAATAAAAAAAAAGATAAAAATCGTACTAAAATTGGAGAGAAGCAAGATTTTGTATTTGAGACGCATTAAAGCTACACTTCACATAAATCATACACGCAAACAATCAAAGGATAAAGGATGTGTATCTGAAGGATGTGTGTGTGAGTGATGTGTCTTGTATGTGCGTCACTGCATTCTTAAAAATGAATAAAAATGGAAGCGGAAAACCAAAGAAAGAATCACATTACAATGGCAGAGAAGAAAGGCAAAAGGTTGGTAGCAGTGTTGGCAATGTTTGCAATGTTGTCAGGTGAATTGTCAGCTTAGCCTGGTTAACTTGAACAATCTGACAATTGTCGTCTTACTGCTGACTCTTTGTCTATACCTGTGGTTAGTGTGTGTAATTTTAAACAGGGTGTTTTGATAAAAATTTATCATACTCGCTCAAATACAGCTAGTTTAGGATGAAGTATTTGTATTCCAGAATTAACTTATGTATGTACCAGCTACAATATTATTTTCGGTCTTAAATTTCTCTTTTATTTGATCTATATTTTAATGATTATTAAAAATGCTTAAAAATTTTATATAAATATCTATCCAAATACAAGAAATAAAAAAGTCACAGGATGCTATATATATAGAATACGATATATGCGACATTACGGTAATGAAACCAACTGTCGGGTATCTACAAACTCT